AGAAAAATAATGTATAAACAGAATATATATATATATATATATATATATATATATATATATATATATATATATATATATATATATATATATATATATATATATATATATATATATATATATATATATATATATATATATATATATATATATATATATATATATATATATATATATATATATATATATATATATATATATATATATATATATATATATATATATATATATATATATATATATATATATATATATATATATATATATATATATGTGTGTGTGTGTTTGATTAAACTGTCATGGATATGGATGTATCAATAAGAGATCAGCATCAAGTGTATTATATTAACTGAAAGTCTTGCAATCCCTAAGCCTTTAGATTAAACTTTGAATAAGTATAGTTTTCAGCATTCTTGACTCTACCTACCATTATAAGTAAGGTTACAGTATTTAAAACTATATGAAACAATATCAATGAAACTGTGTCAAGCAGTATTTGTACTGCAAGAGGATTCCCATTCATTTCCCCAATGTGATCCTCTTTGCCAAGCATCTTATGCAAACAGCTACCATTAGCACTGTATATCAGTAACTCACTGAAATATCCAAAATCCTGCTTCGTCTCCTTTGCACAAAGTGGCAGGAAAAGAATGCAGACAGACACCAATGTCAAGCATTTAAATGTCAGTCAGGTGTTAGATGAAAAACATCTTACGTAAATGTTTCTCTTACTTTTCTAATAGCATTAAGTTCATGAACTTGTATTTCATATAGATGGCATTTATTTACAAATTTGTCTGCATATATATATATATATATATATATATACATAAGGTAGCTTAATGTTTTAAGCAGTGAACTGGAAAATCTCACATGGTTTCATATTCCATATGTGTTCCATGGGAAACAGCTTTGACAGTTGTGCCATGCATAGAAATTATTACAGAACATGTTGAATAGTACAGGTATTGTGTACTACATATGCTCAGTGGGAGATAGATCTTGCAATTATGCTGGCTATAAAACATCTTGCAGGTTATATTGAGTAGTGTGGACATCATTTCAGCAGGTATATTGCTTTCCTTTTGCAAGAATGGCCACAAAACAGATTGAACAATGTCCTGCATATACATGATGCTGTTCAAAATTCCCTCAAACATGAGAGTTATAACTTATCCCACACTATGATGTCAAGAATTAGGCCAATGTGATGTTGATAAATACATCTGGAAAGCTCTCTCACTTTCAGTCTATGGTACATGACAAATGACCATCAAAGCAGAACATACTGTCATCATTGAACACAACAGAACACTATTAAGCATCAACATCTAAAGCTGAAACAAACAGACACGGGTTTAAGTGTTACTACATAATAAAAAGACCGAACACTGAAAATTTTATTAAAATATCTACTACTCTTTAGTATGCATACTCTATACCCAATTATTGTCATCTTTCATGGGGTTGAAATTTTATTTTTTATCAGCGTATATAGATTTTGAAAGCCAATACCAGGGTCTTATCACTCCTGTTGGAGGAACCACTCCCTAACTGACTATATCTTCAGAGGTGTGGTCATACTCACCCTACTTGACCAATTGTGTGTTAGTGAGGATATTTAATATCTGGTTGGAGGTTTTGAATTAAGAGTTAGCATTCTCCTAGATGGTTACCACCCACGTCTATAAGACCCAGTCTGTTTATCCATAACTGGGGGTAGAAGAGATAGATTCATACCGTTTCCAAGGATATTTGCATGTAAGTGAGAGTAACAAATTCAGCTCCCCAATTCCTCAATCTGAGCTGCTACCCATTACTCCCATGCATATATACACACACACACACACACACACACACACACATATATATATATTTATGCATAAGTAGAGATGATATTTGATATTTACTTGAATGTTTTTATTAATGTTTGTGGTTGTATCAATAAGTTCTTGGACTGGACACATTGTAAGTATACTGTTCAACTGAAATCCACATCCAGCTGATTAATACCTAACATAGTGAGTCAGCCTGCCAATAGGTCTTAAGTTATCTGCTTGTATACAGTTATTAAATATGATTTTAAAATATGTTTGAACAGCTTTCTTATCTTTATGATGGCTAACAAATTGAATCAATATGTCAGCAATGCTCACATATTGATTCAATTTGTAAGCCCTTGCGAGTGAAGTTTGACATATTTTCTACCAAGGCCCTTGAAATGCTGTTGTTAAAATTATTTTAAATAATTTTTCAAATCCACTCAAGATGATAATGAACTGCAAAAGGCTCCAAAACATGGGAAAATTTATAAATATGCCTATGATGACTATTTGCTGAAGAATCTGTATTATTTATTGGATTAATAGTATATTTTTGCCTAGTTCGAGAACTTTCAGATACTAATTTATATGTGATATTTCAATAGTCATTATGCAGAAAATATCAAAGAATACATAGTAATTCTTCATGTTGAAATTTTATTATTATGTTTGACATTTTCAGATGTTTCAGCATTAATAGTATTTCATAGGTCACATCAAAGCACAATGGGTCTTTTAACTTCACACACTTTCAATTCGGTGAAGTTAAAACTGTAATTCTACCTCCACTTTCACCATTTTTGTCACTAACAAATACAAATTTTAGTCTCAGTAACAAAGAATTTAATCTTATAATTAGCAATTAACAAGTGTAAAATCAACCAATAATTTTTAATGCTGCTTTTCACTTTGATAAGAGAAGATAATTATCAGATAAAAAATATATTTGCAATGAGCCATGTGATTAAATTAATGTTATTCTCAAGTAACCATCTTAAAGAACTTTCAATTGCAGAGAATTGTCTTATAATTAAAGGAAAAAAAACAAAATTGAAGATATCAGTCTGGATTTAATTCAAAGTTTAGTAACAGTTTCTGGGTAGAATATTGAACTGGAGATCACTAAGATATATATTCAATCCATTAAGATATTATTTGAATAAGAAAATAAAATTAATTTTTCTTTTTTAGACATGTTATCTAAAAGGCTTTCTTTTTTTTAAACTTATTAACTTGATTGATATTGCTCTCTTTCCCTATCTCTCTCTCTCTCTCCCCATATATATATATATATATATATATATATATATATATATATATATATACATACATACACACACACACACACACACAAGTTTTGTTAAATATGATTGATAAGGTACAGCAATTAAGCACTTTATTTAATTTTTCTTGTGTTTGTACAAGTGTTTTCTTTTCTGGATACAAAGTGTGTAAAAAGAGATTAAAAATAATAAAAGCCCCAATAAAAAAAAAAAAGAAAAAGCCAACACCCAATAACATTAACTACAAACAACCATAATGTACTGACTGCTTTTGGAAAATAAAACATTCCTATAAATGCAGACACATAAGAAAAACCACACATTCAGTTAAAAACTAAAAATCATCTTTGATAATGGCTAAAAGAATAGCTAAAAGAGTTCAGATATGCATAACTTTTGGACAGTTTCTACACATTTTGTGTCCAGAAAAGAAAACACTTCTACAAAAACAAGAAAAATAAAAAGCTGAATTGTAGTACTTTGTCAGTTGTCTTTAACAAAATATGTATAAAAGAGGGATTGCTGCCTAAATAAACAATTGTCAAATTACATATTATCTGTATCTTTTTGGAAATAAACCACAAAGGAATATGAAAATTCCAGTAGATACTTTCAAAGCATGTTGTAAATAATTTAAGTTAAATCTTATCCTCTAGTCATGCTAACTTTCCAATTTTTATTTTATATTTTTGGGTAGTCAAGTTATTACATTACTTTTATCATATATTTTCCCAATAACTTTTATGCAATTGCCATTCATACTCTTATCTCATTAGTTAGAGAATAGTAACCCTTTAGCATTCAGCACAACCAAACCTATCTGATAAATATTGGCTATCAAAGTCTCATTGTTTGTGTGACTTGCTGCATTATTTGTGATGATGTCATCATGTATTATCGCAGAGTATATATAAGGCAGGTTATGATGTGTTGAACAGTAAGAACCAATATTTTTGGGGTGGTTTGGGAGGGGTGAATGCTAAAGGGCTAAGGGCTTTATGAGTGAAATGCATTTTCATATGCAACAAAATCTACACAGTGTTTTGTTATGTTTTCGTTCTTTTTTGGAAGGTGATTGATTTGTTTTTACAGCTCATCAAACTTTTCCAAGTTATTCAAGGCTAGAAATTATTTTTAGAGTATAAAAATTTATTTGAGATATTCATGACTTACTGGTACAAGTCCTAATTAACCCAGAGCTGGGGTTAGGAGAGATGGATTCATACCTTTCTCAAGACTATTTGCATATAAGTGAATATAATGAAACCAACTGTAATTGGAATTTGATTTTCTATTTTCCAATTCTGAAACATTATCCATTACACTACCTGCACATCCCAGCTTAGAGCACCTGGTGTTCCCAAGTTGTCACCCATTTGCTTATTGACTAGGTATGACATTGCTTAATTTCAGTGATTGTATGAGAAATGGTGCTTCAATCAGTGGTGAAGTGTAACTTAAATCCAGGGCATGTAGTCACGAGTATTTTGTCATATTCAGCCTACCATAATATTTTGTCACTTCCTGTTTGTCTGTCAACAATTCTACAAGCTACTTGCTACTTTTTATGTAGCTGTTGAAGTAGCAAGTAGCTTGTATAGTTGTTGACTGACAAAATATTATGGTAGGCCATATATGATAAAATATTTGCAACTGCATGCCCGGGATCCAAGTCACCCTTCACCACTGGTTTCAATGTGATATGGCCATAAACCTTTGGTTAATTGGTCCACTGTGTGTTCAGATTTTCTGTTAGATAATAGCCATTTCTAAAACCTAAAAGTTTAACTGAATATTTTTGTTTTTTTCTATATTACAATTTGTTGACAGTATTGTCTGTTTATGGGGTCAATATTTAATCACTTTGCCTGAATTTGTATATTTTTTTAAATTTTAGATGGCAGTACAACAGATATACGTTACGAAGAGGAGATTATCTACATGAATGTGGGAGATAATGACATCATCATTCCTGACTCCATCCCAGTTGATGAATTACAAGTGTATATACAAAACAAAAGGAATTTTGAAGGTGGTTTTGGGGCTGAATATAAAGTAAGTTTCTTGAATCAGTTTTTATATATACCAAATTTATTCAAGTATAATGTGATAAATTTTGTGTTAGAATCATAAAGTAAGGATATACTAATATAGGGATTTTCCAAGTGTAGCTTAGAAGTGGCACAAGGCCGAAAGTATGAGACACCCAGTGAGGATCAAACTCACTATTCAGTCGTAATTGTTCTAGTGTGACAAGCTTGCTAACCATTACACCACTTCAAGGTGCCCTAAAATGAATTTCCAAGCGTGGCTTAGATGTAGTGCAAGGCCAAAATTACAGCGCACCCAGTGAGGATCGAACTCACTCCTCAGTTTAATTGTTCTAGTGAGTCAAGCTTGATAACCATTACACCATCTCAGGGTGCCCCAGGATGAACTAATATATAAGTATAAATATGATATAATAAATATACCATATATACTCATGTATCATGCAACCTTTGAAGACCTAATTTTGAAGCTAATTTGACTGTAGTAAATGGATATATAATTTGGTCAACAGCATAGCCAGGGCCAGTAGTACATAAGCTAATTTTATATCTCATGTATGATGCAACCCCCTTAAAATTAGCTTCAAAAGTAGGTCTTCAAAAGTCACATGATTCATGAGTATATATGCTAAGTACATTTTAACAATTTTGTTTACTTTGTTGTGGGAATGGAAGTTATTTATTTCGTGCCTCCTGGTACATTTTTTTCCCACTGTCCCACAAACTGTGCTTTGCAGGAACTTATGATTTTGGGTTAAAATAAGACAAAAATGAGCCCTGTCGGCGGGGCTTCAGAATACGCCGACTGCACCTCTGCAGGGGGTAAAAGTCCCCCAAGGGGGCCACCTGTTTGCCGTGGGTGGCGACCCATGATGTTTGGGGACGGGATCCTGGTGGCTGAGCAGGTCATGACCCAGGTGATAAGTGGTCATTAACTGCAACACTCCACTTTGGCCCTTACCTGAGCTAGACGGGCGGTCGGAGAGGCCCACTCCGATCAATCGGCTGGTCATGACAAGCCCTAACACTCAACCCCCCCCCAAAAAAAAAAAAAAAAACTTGTGTATTAGTATAATTGCCAATTTATCCTCCAAAAAAAAATGACATTTATTAAAAAAAAAAAAAAAATAAATAAATATATATATATATATAATAATAATAAACTCCCCACATGAGTGTTGGAAGGCGGTGGCTAAGGGTCAATCGATTCTGAGGAAGAAGGCCACAACATGGCTGTATACACCCGAGAGGCATCACTGGACTTGGCCAGCGAAGCCAAGGGAATGCAGGTGCTTGTGGCTTCCACTGGATACGAGTATACCTTTTCCTGTAGCCCTGATGTGCCAGGGCGAATGGGTTTCCCCTGGCATCTCCCATAAAATTGGACTCCGAGGTGGGTGGGGAGCAGGAATGGCGAAAACAACACCTAAAAAACAAATGTTTCCAAAGAAATCCACCAAGAGACCACATTTTGAAAGCTCTGACAGTGAGCCAGAAATAATATATCAAAACATCCCTACATATATGGTAATCCAATCAACTGAAGATATACCTATAACTAAAATATCACCTTTCAAAATCGAACAAATACTTTCTAAAAAAATAAAACCAAAAACAACAAAAAAATTAACAAACGGAACAATTCTAATCGAAGTTCAAAAAACACAAGTGGAAGAAATCCTAAGATGGGAAACTTTCAACAACATCAAAATTAAAACCTCCCTCCACCAAACCTTAAATTCATCCAAAGGCGTAGTGAAAAGCTCTGAATTATCACTATGCACATTAGACGAAATAAAAACAAATTTAAAAAACCAAAATGTAATAGATATCAAAAGAATAAGTATAAAAAAAAAATGGAGAAACTATAAACACAAACACATACATATTAAATTTTAATATCCCAAAACCCCCTAATGAAATTAATGTAGGGTACATAAAAATAAAAGTTGAGACATACATACCGAATCCACTTAGATGTTTCAACTGTCAGAAGTTTGGACACCACCAAGATAGGTGTACTAGACCCCCAGTATGCGGAAGATGCGGTGAAAATAACGCAAGACACACTGGCTGTCAGAAGGAGGCAAAATGCACTAACTGCAAAAAAAATCACCCCGCAAATTCCAGAGATTGCGAAATCTGGAAAAAAGAAAAGGATATTTCCAAAATAAAATATACTCAAAATATTACTTTCCCAGAAGCAAGGAAATTAATAAACACTGTGACATACACAGAAATATCAAAAAGACATATACCAAACCCAAACCAACAAGGACACCAAACATACGAAAATAATCAACCTATAACAAAACCTGAAGTAGTTACTCAACTTATGAACGAGATGAGAACTCTAATCCAAGAAATGAAAACCATTATAAAAACAATCACAGAAAACAAACAACTCTCCAAGGAAAACTCAAACACCAAAACATCAACAAACCAAGAGACACAAGCAAAGCCTAACAAGGAGAACCCAAAAGTACTCTCTTCTGAAGTGGCCTCTACCACTAGGCCATCACAGACTTCACCCAATAGGGAAACTATAAAGAAAAAAAACCCTGATGGGCAGGAGCATAAAAATAGATCAAGATCAACCTCAAGAACAAGAACTGCCCCAAAAATAAATAAATTTGAGGCATTGGAAATAATGGAAACGGAAGATGAGACCCCACAACTAAGCAAAACCCAATCAAGGAAAAAAAAATCTAACCTCAAAACAAATCCCCTAAAAATTAAAACATGGCTCCACAAGTAATCAAACATCAAAATACCGAACCATGACTAATAAAATCATCCAATGGAACATAAGAGGTATGAAACCAAACATAAATGAACTACTGCTTTTTAATTGGGAACCTATGTCCAATGATAATATGTTTACAGGAGACTTTTTCTGAAAGAGAATGACAATGTAAAAATTCGTAATTTTACCTCATATAACTATATAAATAATAATACAGATAGAGCCTCAGGCGGCACATCCATACTAATTAATAACAAGATCCCTCAACGCAGAATAGATCTTGACACAAATCTTCAAGCTGTAGCTGCATCAGCCACTTTACATCGCACCATAACAGTATGCTCTATATACATACCCCCACATGATCAGGTTATCGACACCAATTAGAGCAACTGTTGCAGCAACTCCCTAGGCCATTCATTTTATTGGGTGACTTTAACAGTCACAACATCATATGGGGATGCAAAGAAATAAACAAAAAAGGTAAAATCCTGGAAAGGATTGTTAACGAAAAACGATCTATGCATACTCAACACGGGCACTCAAACACATATAAACCAATTTAGTGGGAATACCTCTGCCATTGATTTAACCATATGTGACCCATCTATCTATATGGACTACACTTGGCAAGTACATGATGATACTTGTGGTAGTGATCACTTCCCAATACTTCTAAATAACACAAAGCCTAATGGAAAAAAAAAATGCCCTGTTGGAAACTAGACAAAGCTAACTGGGAAAAATTTGAAGAAAAATGCAAAGAAAAACTAATACACAAAGAGTCAAACAATGACACAATAGAGTATTTCACTGAAACACTGAACTCCATAGCAGTAGACAGTGTTCCCAAGACTACAACTCCAAATAAACGAAACAGACCCTGGTTCAACAACAAATGCCAAGAAGCAATTAAACTGCGAAAAGAAGCACTAAAAAAATTCCAAAAAGAACCAATAACATCCAATCTGATGGAATACAAATCAAACAGAGCAAAGGCACGAAAAGAGATAAAAGCAGCAAAAAGAGAATGCTGGCAGAATTATGTCAGCAAATTGAATTGCTCAACTAAACCAAAGGCAATTTGGGAAATGATTAAGAAAATTATGGGCAAACAAGAAACAACACCAATAAAACACCTCTCAAAAGACAACTCCATAATAACAGATAAAAAAGCTATAACAGAATTGCTAGCTGAAACCTTTGCCAAAAACTCATCCAGTCTGAATGGTACAAAAGAATTCATAACCATCAAAGAAGATGCAGAAAATGTAAACTAAATTTTAAATCAAAAAAAATCTTGAAGATTATAATAGTTTATTGACACTAAGAGAATTGAAAGACTCTATAAAAAATCCCATAATTCTGCTGTAGGCCCGGATGAAATCCACTATGAGTTTTAAAAAATTACCAGAAGAATCACTAAAATTCCTTTTAAAAATATTTAACAAAATATGGACAGAAGGAAGGTTCCCCAGATATATGGAGAGAGAGAAACAATGATACCAATTCCCAAACCAAAAAGAGATGGCTTGGACCCACAAAACTATCGACCTATCTCTTTAACCAGTTGCTTGTGTAAAACAATGGAAAGGATAATAAACAACAGGTTGATTTGGCATTTGGAATCAAACAATCTTATTTCCAACTTACAATGTGGGTTCCGTAGTAAAAGAGGCACAATAGACCACTTAATACGCCTTGAAACAAATATTAGAGAAGCATTTATCAAAAAAGGAACACCTTACAGCTATATTTTTCGATCTAGAAAAGGCTTATGATACGACGTGGAAATATGGAGTAATGAGGGACTTGAGTAACCTGGGTATATAAAGGGTAGATTGCCACAGTTTATTGATGGATTCTTATCTGAAAGAAAATTCAGAGTTCGTGTCGACTCTACACTTTCAGATGTGAAAAATCAGGAAGAGGGTGTCCCACAAGGCAGTATATTGTCCGTAACACTATTTAACATAAAAATAAACACTATAATCAAGGAAATACCACCAGGAACCGATGGATCACTATATGTGGATGACCTTATGATATGTTATAAATCAAAATATATCCACACAATCGAACGAAAACTGCAACAGGGTCTAAATAAAATCAGCAGATGGGCAACAACAAATGGATTCAAGTTCTCTAAAACAAAAACAAAATGTGTCCATTTTTGTCACAAAAGGAAACTCCATAATGACCCAAGGCTGAAACTTGACGGTTCAGAGATCCCAGTTGTAGATGAATACAAGTTTCTGGGGTAATATTTGACAAAAACTAACATTTATTCCCCACCTGAAATACTTAAAAACCAAATGTAACAAAACATTACAACTACTGCGGCGTGGTAGCCCACACAAAATGGGGAGCAGATCGAAACACTCTGTTATTATTGTATAGATCCCTAATTAGATCAAAATTGGATTACAGTATTTTTATATACCGTTCAGCCAGAAAATCCTATTTAAAAATGTTGACCCGATCTACCATGGAGGTTTGAGGTTAGTACTGGAGCTTTTAGAACATCTCCAGTCGAGAGCCTATATGCTGAGGCTAACGAAGCACCTGCAAATAGTAGAAGCCATAAACTGGCCCTCCAGTACTATGTCAAATTAGGGTCATGCCCAGCAAATCCTGCATAAATAGTACCTTCTATCCAAAATACAAAGAATTATTCCAAAGGAATGAAAAAGCCATAAAACCCTTTGGACTTCGGATGGAAACAATTATAGAAGAAGCAGATGTAGATTTGACAAAAATCCATAAAACAATCATACCAGATATCCCACCTTGGACCATAAGAACCCCAAACATAAACTTAACCCTCTGTAAATACTACAAAAATAAAACCCACCCACTAATTTTCCAAGAGGAATTAGAGAAAGTTAAGGAGAGATATCCTAGGCACTCACATGTCTTCACAGATGGATCTAAAGTAGGAAAAATAACAGGATGTGCCGCAATATATAATAGAAAAATATTTAAAAAACATCTCCCAAATGACACCTCTATATTCAGTGCAGAAGTTTGTGCAATTAACATGGCTCTTAACCTCATCTCAGAATCAAGGAACAACAAGTTCATTATCTTTTCTGATTCACTATCAGTATTAGAATCACTAAAAACAGGAAGTTTGATAATCCATTGATAGTGAAAATACTATGTAAATTAGAACACCTATCAAATGATAATGATATACAGATATGTTGGGTCCCAGGTCACACTGAATCGGTGGAAATGACCAGGCAGATAAAGCAGCCAGGTCTACTCTAAATATGACCATAGAAAAAAATTTCAAAATACCATATACAGACCTTAAAATGAAGATAAATAAATACATACTGCAACAAAGACAACAACGCTGGAACAGCAATAGTAATAATAAATTACTAAAAAAATTAAACCTGAATTGGGAGAATGGAAACAGAGCTATAGGAAAAATAGAAAAGAGGAAGTGATATTGTCCAGACTTCGAATAGGCCATACAAGGACAACACATTCCTACTTACTTGAAGCAAAGCAACAACCAATGTGTTATGCATGCCAGACCGCATACACAGTGAAACACATTCTCATTGAATGTACTGACCTAGCCCATATAAGAGAAACGCTTTATAGTGCAAGTAACATGAAGGAACTGTTCCAAAAAACTGACATGGATAACATAATATCGTTCCTGAAAGCAGTCAATTTGTACCAAAAAATCTAAAAACATAAAAAGTTGGGAGTTTTCTGCAAACTTTTGCTGCAAGGAATGTTTTCAACAAAATCTGATCCTTTCTGCATACCATTTCTCAAAAAAGGAAGAAACTTCCTACGATACAATTCTCTACAAAAATTTTTTTTGACAGAACCAGATTTTTTCTACAAACCATTTCATTTCTAAAAACCTTTTTCAGCATGGCAAACCTCTCCGTTTGTGGAAATGGAAGGGTCTATTATATTGGAAAATAATATTCCAATAATAACCTGATTTGACATTAAATGACTGAGGAGGTCGATATGTCGTAAAACACAAACAAACAAACAAAAATAAGACAAAAATATGGATTTCATACAAACAAAAATTAATAAATGTATTAAACAGACATGTTATTGAAGGATAATATAAGAAACTATGTTGTAATGATGAAGAGTTCACAGCAATCTTCAGTTTGGTTTGTTTTGTCTTACAGCATATCAACCTCAATGGATTATTTAATGCTGACAAGATTTTTATTGCTGGTAATATTTTTTCCTCCAAAAATGTATTGCTGGCAATAATTATTTACAAAAATGTATTGCTGGTAATATTTTTTTCGTTCAAAAATGTATTGCTAGTAATAATTTTTCCTCAAAAACTTTGCTGGTATTAAAACCTATTTTACACTTTCATAGTATTGTTACTCCAGTTTGAAGGTTAACTATTTTCCCATAGCTGGGAACCTAACAGGTGCTACCACCTTGGGTCATGGTGAAACTGAGAACACCAGCAATTAAGAGGTGGTTCCACACTCCTCAAAACCTCCTGATCAGAGGGTTTGCTGTTGAACATCATTTATTGTCTTACCCAGAACACAAATGTAGTTTATTTACCCAGGACATATCTTCAGTCTGTGTCTCTGAAGTACTTACTGGCCTTGTGTCTATCAGAGTGAGAAAGACATGAAGCTTTCAAATCTTGTGTCACCTGTGATTATTGTCAGGTGGTGATAATTCAATATCTCACTGACTCTGATTATCACTGGGGGCAGTAATCCAACAATTTCTACATCAAGTGTACACCTAGCAAATACTTTTTCATAATAGAAATCCCCTTGATCTTTCTTCTTTGATGTGCTATGACATTTTAGAATATAGGCAATCATCCATTTATTTTGACTTTTTCATATGCTGTGTTCCTTCAGCACATGGCAATCATGGCTCTCTACAACATCTTATCTCTTTTTTGCTCTAAGCAACTTTTGTCCCTTTAACATTCCTCTTTATCCTTGTTCTCACATCCCTTTACTCAAACTTGCTGAGTAGGTTACTTAGTATTTCCCTGTGCTTCTTTTGCTCTCACTATGTACTGTGAGTGTTCACTTCTCCAAGCGGTCTATCCTCATTATGTATATCAAACATTTCAGCTCTCTCTTTTTCAATTGTCAGTATATAACATTTTGTCTGTTGTATTCTCAGCATTTGTTGGTAGAAGCATATCTTTGTCACTTCCAGGCTCTTTGTATGTGAAGAGATTCACTGTTATATTGGAGATTGTAAATTACATACCAGTTCAACACACTTGGTTCTGAGAATATTATCTTATGTGTTAATACTTTGCTCAGTTTCTGAAAGACATATTTGCTATTCATATGTACATTTAGATTTTTCTGTTAGTTTTTGTCACATGTTACTAAACATTTTTAAGTACCTGTAGTTATCCAATCTAGAGTTTACACTGGTTTCTAAAATTATCTTAACAATAAGATGATGTATTGCGGAAACAAAATAGCATTTCTTTTATAATTCTGAAAGAAATTATTGTTATTGCAAGAGTTGTTGAGACCATTGAGCACACTTTTTGTTTTACTTTTGTTGTTAGCCAGTCCTTTGTACAGCTTCCTTCAATATAATTTTAAAAAGTGCCATTATCATTAAAAGAATAACTTATCAACATTTCCTGTGAAAAAAGAATATTTTTTTCATAAAAGATTGTGCAATTGAAGAAGGCTGTAGAATGAACATAAATACTCATATATAAATACATATCATTTAGAATGACTTAAAATTTTCTGTAAATTTTTATATGGTCCAACATCCCTGCTATTTATCTGGAGCTACTTGATAAAATCTAAAAAGAATCAGCAATATAATTGGTTATGATCTGGCAGCTCAGGATCAATCACTTTCCCATTACCATAACATTGGCTTTCTGTCTTTTTTATAAATACTTTCATGGTAATTTTTTGGATGAGTTTTTGCTATGGTACCTAGACTTTTTGAATTTAAACACAGTACTAAACTGGTGTCAAGATCTCATCAATTTACAGTTGAGTTGGTGAGATGTAACTGTAAATTCTATGCTGTTTATTTTTTCGCACTTCTTGCTTCCAGCTCCATGCTTTCCAGCCAACTTAAATCTGCAGAAATTTAAATGCAATGTCAATCACTACTGTCCTCCTGGTTACTCTTTTCTCTTCCTGCTCATTATTAATGTTTCTGTTCCTAATTCTTCCACATGCAATAACTCCTTGTGTCTTAGTCACTTTACTTCCTTGCATGGGGTAAAACTCTTTATAAAAATATATACATTTGAATATCTAATAATAAATAGTAATGACTCAAAGCATAGATAAACTAATAAAACAAATGTTATTTATTCTTTGTTTACATACATTTTAATCTTTTGTTTCTTTTTACAGAAATTATCTCAGAATAATGAAGCAACTTGTGAAGCAGCCAACCGCCCAGAAAACAAAGCAAAAAATCGCTACAAAAATATTGTTGCCTGTGAGTAAATTTTCTTTATTTCTGTTCGCTTAAATAAAAAGAAGAATTTAGCATTTAACCTGGAGGAAGAGTATTTGGCAGGTGAATTTGGTACTGCGGCAGCCACAAAATGAGCTGTCAGCTTTGGTTGGAGGCAAAAGATTATTAAAATATGAATATTTACATGTTCATCTGTTGGCTCCTTGAGGAGATTTGATGTTTCTGCAATTTAGATGACTATTACCGTTGGCAATTGGTTTATCCCATTCTGATGTAGAAAGAAAGCTGGAGTATGCAAATCAGTAAACAGATTTAATGCTAAATATAGTGATTTTGAATCTGAATATTTTTTTTTTCATTTCACCCCAAACAAGGGGATAATGCCATTAGAATGCAGAAGGTTGCAAGGAATGAAAAAGAATGAGAAGACTTTGGTGAGGGGAACAGAGGAAAAGGACAATAAAAGAACATGATTCAAGAAGACAGAAGATGGTAATTGTAAAAGAATTGTCATTATGGATGCTACCTGCCTTACCTATAATTATAATGGATGGTGAAAAAATGGGCAATTGTAGGTAGAAAAGTGGCTAATATGCGTCAATGAGAAATTAGTTGAGGGAGATGCTTGATCAAGTATCAAGCAACTTCACAAATGGACAGATGAACGAATAAAGGAAGCACAGTGAAAGAGGAAGAACAAAGGAAAACAAGAAGCGTGATGTTACATTTAAATTTTTCAAGATTGTAACTGGCAGGGAACAAAAGAAATCATAAGGGAGCTCCACAGATGAGAAGTGCTGAAAAGAAACTGTTAGAATAGAAGAGACTGTTGCATCTAGTGAGTTCAACAGTAAAATGGTGAGAACTAGTTGCCAATCAAGTAGCACACTTAAATTCATACAGTCAAGGCACTAAGAAAAAAAGAAGGGTTGCCATGAAAATATTGGTAGAAAAGGCCCAGCATGCCATAACAAGAGAAGCCATGACACTTAAGAAATAATAATGCAAGATTGTGAGTTCAAGATGCATTTATGAGCATAATAAACAACTACATTTAGAATTTTACCATCCCATCTCATTTAACATTATGAAGAACCAACACTTTCAATCTGTACACAATCTCTAATCTTCTGCATTGTAATCAGTGCCAAATTTTTGCACAAGACTACTTACTTCCAAGCGAAAAATAATCCGAGGATCTATCTTTGTTGAAATATAGTGGAAAATATTTTTCTCTGTTATTTTGCTACTAATATGAAGTTGTTCCTGAATATAATAATCTTTTTTAAAAATTCGGACCACAAAAGTTCTGTAATATCTTTGGAGAGAACAATGTCTTTCACTAACTAATTTCATCCTGAGTAAATAGATGTGGTTCATTTTTTTAACATTTTGTGACAAGTTCCTCCTCTGAGTAAATCAAGATTATCAATTAGTAGATCAGATCGATACAGGTTTTATCACTGATTTTTTTTTTTTGCTGTGTCCTTGAATTTGCAGGAGCAAATGTAGTCATCATTACTATGATTCTCTTTGCATTCTTTCATATCATTAGAATTACAAAAGCAAGAGTTTTTTTTGACTTTCATTCATTGTTTTAGTTATAAATAGAGGAGACACTGTGTAGGACCCACCTTTTATCCTCGTCTCAAAATTTAATTCTAAAATAGGTATAATATGATTTTTTAACACAATCTGTTCTATTTTTTGGTCTACAACTTTCCCACAAATATAGCAAAAAATATACCTGTTTACATGACTAGATGCTATATGATCCTTAACAACACAAGAATATTCAAGGTTATCAATTAATATCCTTTCATGTTTAATTAATTACCAAAACTTTGTGATATTAAACATTGTATTACACAATGTAACACCAAACATGTCTGACTGCTAGACATGCTACTTCCTATATAGTGCTCCAGCTATATTCAAGCTTTTTGCTAAAATAAGTTTGTTTAAATATGGATTTGATATTAAAAAATATTGAATTCAAGCATTTAATGTCATTCAAATTATATGAAATATTGCTATGTATGTTGCAAACTTAGAATTAAACTAAAAATATGCTGCAGAAGAAATCCTCTATGAAGTAGAAAAATGATTTTTATTTTTTGACTTAATCACTACTAATATTTAAAAATTACGTAAAATAAGTCAAAAAGTTTTTTCACACCTATTATCAGTAAAGAGTAGAGAATTAAGTTCAACTTCTGGGCAAAAACTTTTATGCTTATTTTGTTCTAACACCTTTGGGAAAGGCATGAATCCAATTCTTCTTGTATTTTATCACATCACCAGTTGTTTTCACATAATATCTTTATTACTTACATACCATGGTGGCTAAAAATAAGATGTTGGTTGAGTGAGTATTTTGGCATGACATTCTTCCATAACAGTCATTTGAACAAACGAGATAAGTAAAAAAAAATATATATATATATATAGTGAGGGAATGAAATGCAGTCATACCTTTGAATGTGGAATTGTAAGAAAATAAAAAAAAAATAAAGTTCTTTTGTGTTACTGGTTATTTGAAACTTACCACATAATTAAAGAATTTTCTAGAAGTGTACATGCAAGGAAAGGCACTAACATTAAAGTTAGCAGATTTTGGCAAGTCATCCAAATTTTGATTTTTTGTATTTTTGAAGTGAAGTCAGGGTTTCAGTGAAGATAAGTTTTAATCTTTTTATTTCTGACTTTTTGCCTCAAAGTGCAGATGGTGTAATAGTGACTCAAAATGAGAAATCAGAGCTCAGTTCGATTTCCAGTTAGATTCACTTACATGCAAATTCCCTTAGGAAAGGTATCTATCCATTTCCCCCCACAGCTGTGGGTTAAATAATAGGATTTGTATGTGAAAAAAATCATTGTAATTCTTAAAAATTGTTAATGCAATGTGTTGAAAAAAAAAGAATTATTCTTACAATCCAAAATATGTTTTAGCTTTAAATAACCCAGAAAGGGTTGATAAGTCATAAAAAACAGTTTCCCTGCTCCCTTTTATTTCTTATGTCTTTCTTTCTATTCATTTGCCTCTCTCCTTCCTTGATTTTTTCTCTCTCTTTTTGTTTCTTTTTCTCTCTTTTATCCCATTTTTCTTTGTTTTTGTTTCTCTTTCCCTTTGTCTCTCACTACTTCATCTCCATCTGTCATTTCCTTTTTCCTCTCTTTTTCTCTGTCACTCAGTTGTCTCTTTATTTCCATATCTGTTTCCTTTTTATCTCACTTTTTTTCTCTTCTCCCTCCTGTCTCTATACCTGTCTTTTCTATCTTTTGTCTTTCTTTCTTTTTCAAACTTTGTCTCACCTTTATCTCCATCTTTCTTCCTCTTTTCTCTCCATATCTTTCTTCTAATTGTCTGTTCATCTACCTCTTCCTCTTTTGTCTTTCTTTCCCTTCTTTCTTACCATTTATCATTTTCCTTTTTCTCTTTACTCCTTTATCATTTTTTCTCTTTCTGTCTATCTCACACTCATTTTTCTCCATCTCTCTTTCTTGGTGCAATGATTTCTTTTTCTCTCTTTCTTTTATCGCTGTCAGTCTTTTGTCTCTTTGGCAATCTTTCTTACCTTCTCTCTATTCTATTTGTCTCTCTCTCTCTTTATTTCCTTGCTTTTGTATCTTTTTGTTTCCACCTCCTATCTTTCTTTCCTTTATCTCCATCTGTCTTTTCCTACTTTACTCTTTCTTTTTCTCTCTCTTTCTCTCTATCCTATCCTTTGTTATTTTCTAACTCATCCATTCTTTCCTACCTTTGACTGTAATTATATTCGTATATGTCTGCTAAGTGGTGTTCCTATCAAAATCTGTTTCCTTGCAATAAAGGAATGTTCGTATTTAGAAATCCCAAAGAACTACCTGTAATTGGACTGGCAAGAGTCAGAGTGGGCAGTAGATATCTATCCTCCCACACACCCATATTTGTAAGCAGGAAATGATAATTCTGTTCCAATGCATTCACCTATTAATAACAAAAATACATGCAAATGAAAATCTATCAAAAGATTTGAAAGATACGTGCTAGAAAGTCTGTTAGGGTGTTATCATTTTTGTTACCGAGAGGCAAAAAATGAGAATATTTAAATCCACGAGATGAATGAAAAAGTAACAAAATAAATGACGGAAATGACAATAGAATTTTATGGTTAGCTTATTGGTTTCCTTTAGAAATTTGTAAAAGGGAATTGATATATTGGAAGGACAAGAAATACTTTACTAAACAGGTAGTACATAAATACTGATTCATGATTAAGACAAATAGATATGAACAGACAGAGATATATATATATAGTTAGATACATTTTATATATACACATCCACTCAGTCATACATAATGGTAATATTTGCCATTTTCTATAAACATTTTCATGGTAATTGTTCTGCTAAACTTTCCTCTATGGTACCTAGACTTTATGAATTTAAGCACGGTACTAGATTGGTGGCAAGGTCTCATCATTTAAAGTTGAAATGGCTTGATGTAACTAAGTTCTATGCTAAGAGGTTTTTCTATCACACTTCTCATTTGTGGGAACTCTCTTCCAGCTTCTTGTTCCCTGTTAATTTTGATCTTCAAAAATTTAAATGCAATGTCAGTCATTATCTTCTATCTTCTTAAAACATGTTCTTTTATTGATCTCTCTCTTTTATAGTGTTTTTTCACACACATTCTCTTGTGCTCAGTAACCTCTTGTATCTTAGTGGCTTTATTAACCTTACTTTGAGTGAAATGATTAAAAATAAACTTCCTCATATGGAAACCTAGAACTTTCATTGACCAAACAGGCAGTGCTACTCAAGTTAGGCTTTTCTTCATCAAAGTGCAATACCTGTTCTTCTCATCTCTAATGGTAATATTAGCTGTTTCCTTATAAGGAAACATTCAGCATTTGAGCAGTCATTGCTACATTTTTATAAAATATTTTTACTAAAACAGGAAAATAATTTTTTGTGTCCACTATTATCAAACTTTCCAGTATTGATCAGGCTTTCCTACCTAGGCTTTTGTTTGAAGT